AGATGCTGAAATTCTCATTATGGAATCATAACTTTATCTTTTAAAGTAATGTATTATCTGCTACTGCATCCTATGCATGTATTAAGTGTTGTAAATGATTATTACAATTCAAAATACTGCAAAAACGTTACTTCAATAATCTATGCCATATGGGTTTTAAGTTTAACTTTAAGAGAAGTTGCAAAGGGACTAATGAAACCAGTCTATACAAATCAGAAAACCACTTCTGCAAACTGCCCTCATGGTACTTTTCCAGTGTTATCGTCATCACTGTCTATATTCCTTACAGTGGTCTTCATCATCACCATCACTGTTTACATTTATGATGTCTTATTTATTCTCCTGTACAGCACTTTGGTCAACTTTGGTTGTTTTTAAAGTGCTTAACAAATAAAGTTGGATTGGATTGGATTACTGTATGCCTCGAGATAATGTCATTTTTGTCAAGTGCAGAATTTTTGCGTTATCTGAAATATATTAAGCAATGGGATTGAAGACAATGAAGTTTAAGACACTATAAAACAAGCATGACTGCTTTTTGTGAGGTTGATAGGTTCTGCATCAGGGAGTCGCCAGTTGTAGTTGATGATCCTGCATAATCATAGTTATTAAACTGGAGCCACTGTGGGAATACCAATTACGCGGGGACACCAAAAGGACGTTTTGAGCCTAGCATTGAATTGTCTCACTGAGTTATGCAAATGTGCTCCGTATGAGCATAAACATATGCAAGCACACGTGCAGCCTAACAGGAATGCACACAAAGTATAAGCAGGACAAATAATGTACCTACATAGACACACACAATGACAAAGAAGGCTTTGTAGATGTGATAACTCTGATATTATGGTTAACCTAGAACATTATCTCCTACTACTACTGTAAAAGAGGCAAGAAGCTATTTTAAAAGCTAAGCAAGATCAACAGTTATTTTAGAAAAAAACATTTACTTTGTATTATGCTTAAATCAGCATTTAGAAGTGAGCATTTCTTCTTCTCAAACGGGATAACACTCTTTTGTTAGTTTTGTTTGTTAGTGAGATAAAGCTGATATACTTTTAACTCCAAAAGCAGCACCTGGAAATATCCTCTTGGAAACTTGGTAAATTGGAAGTGAAAATGCATTTTGAGCCAAACACAAGAAACAAGGCCAAAAACAAGAGAGAATACACCAGTAACATTTGATTTATTATTTAAATTATACTCAGTATATCAATAGTCAGTCTGCCACAATCATCTGTTTCCTTTACCTTGGACAGGAAGCTTTAGAGGCCCATACATTATATTGTTATTAACAGTCAGTATTTACAGTACATGCATACAGTACTTTTAATTGGTGTGTTCATTAAACCATCTCAAGCTGTAGCTCACTATGGTTTTAAAAGTGTAATTAAATAATGGTTAAGTCCTTAGGGGCCTGAGTGCGAGAGAGACGGGGGGAGGGAGACAGAAAGACAGGAATATGAGGGGTTAGAAGTAGAGAAACAATGAGAATAAAAGGTACTAACAGCCTGAAGACATTGTTAATAAATATACCATAAACGTCCAAATGGAACGTTCCTAAAATGTTGACTATTTAGAAAGTACAGTATGTGTATTTGCTTGTATATATATTTGGGTTGTATCTCTATGTGTGCACTCCCAATGCATTGATCTGAATCTGCATTTTTTTTGCTGCTTTGTATCAGTGTTTCTCCTGAAGCTTCTTGTACACACACAGTCTCAAAGAGGTACATTTTAAAATGTTCACTCTTAACCCACCAATAGCTTCTCCAACAGCTGTCTCTGGAAAATGTTGTTGACCAACAATTATTTTAACATTATTATTTTCACTGATTCTGCGGTAGTCTCATCCTCTTACCCTTTTTGTTTTATTTTGCTATGGTTGCACGACTGCAGTCCTCCTGAGCTATTTTTGGGCTTGTGATGAAATCATTTCAAATCAGTGTTTTGTGTAAAGTGATGGATGGCTTGGGTACACCCAGTAGCTGTGGTAAAGTAGGATGATTAATAAACCTCTGTTTGGTGTCAGAGTCCCAAATCACCTTGTCGCAGCTTATTTTGATAATACTGTAATGACCAGCTCCTTGTATATATATGCAGTCCAGTGGCAAGTTAACTAATAGCCAAATATTCCTGTCTAATTACTACACTTTATGAACAGATAAAGGCAGTGGATCATCAGACTACTCAAAAAATATTATAATGATACAGTAGAGGCCTTGTTTCTGTAGCTGTCTGCCTTCCAACATGGCTGCAAGTAACCATTGGTAACCACTTCAAAAGAAAACATTTGCTTTTTGTCCAGTGATGAAGGAGGGAAGCATGATATTATTGTTTCACTGTGACAACACAATATCAGTTAAATATGTTACTTAAAAGTCCAGTGTGTAGCATTTAGTGGCATCTCTCTAATGCAATTGAAGATCGCAAATCTGTCGCTTCCCCCTCCCCCTCCAAGGGCAAAGGAGAAACTATGGTGGCCACAAAATGCGCGAAAAAATGCGAACACCCCCATCTACAGAAAGTGCTTGGTTTGTCCCTTCTTCTGGGATACTGTAGAAACATGGCGGTTCAACACGGCGGTCTTCGTATCTGTAGATACAAAAAGCTCATTCCAAGGTAACAAAAACACAACGATTCTTATTTTCATACAATAATGAAAATCTACCTATGAATATTATATAATTTATATATATATATATATATATATATATATATATATATATATATATTTATATATGTTAATATATTTCATATAGTATATCGTCATATATAAACTCAAAAGGAATTTTTTTAAATTCGTCATAGTATATGAAAGGCCTTTAGTATTACACTATTTTTTATTCAATTTCATATCCAATAATTTGCCATGTGTCTGCAGTCAGTCTGTAACTTTCACTTTCTAGATCAAGAATTCACAGTTCCTGGTTGTGTACATGTTTACTGATTTGGAACAAGGAGTTTAACTTTTTGAAAAATTGATCGTCTGAGCAGCGCTTCTGTTTAAAATCTTTGAAAATACTGCAACTGTGGTGAAACTTGGTCTTTCTGTCTCTCTCTTTTTTTTTTTTTAAGTCAATGAACTGGAATTATCCATTACTTTCAGTTGAATGGCAAAAGCAAAATTGACTGAGCAGTATGCTGACGGTTATATAACCAGCATACAACAAACACACCAATACTATGCCTGTATGCTCCTGAACCTGCTCTACAGAGAAGATATTCCCACCGGTGTTGCGTTTGTAGCTCAGCCTCACTATTTTAATATTCTCATCACATTTGAGTTGTGACCCCTGGGCTTGACCCTGGCGGGATGTTTTGTCATATCTGTTTCCGCCCTGCTCTCTCCATAGTCCAAGTTAAGGTGCCATCTGTTAGCTTTGCATCTAGAGTGCTGCTGAGTGGCAGGTGCTCTTGAATCTGCTAACCACCTGGTGTGTGCACTGTGCATGGGAAAGAGCCTCCATCTTGTGAACATGCCATTAATGCAATATTTGACATACAAAAATACAGACACATACATTATAGGTACTAGGGCTGCCCCCTTATAGTTGACTTAATTGTTAGTCGCTGAGAAAAGTCTTAGTAGACCCACTTTTCATTGGTCAGATGGTCACAGAAAGAAACCCCACAAAAACCTTCAAACTCTGTTCCGGACCAAAGTATCAGGCGATTGTTGTGGCACAGACTTTTTTCTTGTAACACAGGGAGTCCCTTACTGCACTGTTGCATAAGTTAACTGTACTAGTTCGTAGTTATACATTATCCATCTTATCAATAAGTATTTGTTTTTGTGAAATTGGAAATTGGACGGTATTCAGTGTTGTGTCACTTGTGTAATGTTACACTGTTTCAAAAAATAATGAACTAAATGTTCAGTCTCTCTGCTATTTGATCACACATTCATAATCATGACCGCTTTTTCTGTTATCATAGAAATAAATATATTTAAATAATTCAATTAATATCATAAACATTCTACCAGTAATCGACTATTTGCTTTATTAAGTTGTCTAGGAAAATCTTTAGTGGGGGGGGGGCCCAATGAGTACATGTTCACGTACAACACACTCCCCTGCTCCTTTATAACAGTGTCTAGATGAGGGAGTGGGAGAATGGGCAGCACCATGAAAGTAAGTGTTGACACTGTCACTGGTGGTGGTATTGTTGTTTAAGTCACGAGGTTGCCAGGCAGGCAGTCTAATTAAACTGTGCAGGCTAGCAAGTGCTTCCTCCCACGAATCAGCAGCCAAACTGAGCTAAGTGAAAGAGAAAGGGAAGATTTGTTCTTCACAGGCTTGAAAGTGCTGCTCAGAATAAAAAGAGAAGTGATTCATAGCAGCTGCAACTCCAGGGGGGCTTCCCAGAATTTGGATGCGATGGTGCTATCAATATTAAAAGGCATACTACCAATATATTTTGTATATGGAATGCTTACATTGATTGAGAATATGCACTGTTATGGAAGCAGATGATGGTGCTGCAGTACAGTACAATGGTACAGCTGTGAATATCCGCATCCGTTTTCATGGAAATCTGCAAATTAGTTTGAGTGCTGCAGTCATGGATCAAAATATTGGTTAAGAGAGACTCATGGACAGACTGACTGATGTTGCAATCCTCAGGCCTCACTGCCAGCGTTGCAGAAATACATTTGCTGTAGACAATACATACATTCACTATTCTCTGCTTTGTTGAATATGAAATGCCTTGAGAAGAATGCAGTTTAAAGAATTTCAATGTCTTACAAATGTCTTGCATTCCACTGAGTACTTTACTGTATATATATATGCTGCAGAGCCTCTCCAAGTTTCATTCATTTTGTATTTCATCAAGATGATGAATGGCAGCTACAATAGCACGGACTGGTAAATTAGATCAGAGCTTCAAGCCCACGGTTAATATAATAACAGCAGGGGAAACATTCCAGTGCACAATACGTGTAAATGATGAATGTGTCTGAAAACAAATCTTGTCTTCTTTTCTGATTTCATCAGATCGACGGAGAGGAGGAGCAGAGACGTTTCGATGAGGGCAAAGCTCGCTACCTCCAGAATAAAGCGAAGAGACTCGCAGATAAGGAGCGTCAGCAGTGACGCCGCTGCTCACCAGAGTTAAACGCCTGCAACAACAGTATATCAACCCCACACAACACACATACAGTATGAAGGGAATAAAAACCCTCTCTCCTGTTCTGTAACTGTAGCCTCCTGTAAAACATAAACCAGTGATTTTTTTTTTCCTGTGCTATGCACCAAAGTGTCCACATATAGCTATATGTATGTAAAAGTAAGAGTGCATATTTTTATTGATGTATGAAGACTATTTATGATCACTGTGCAAAGTGACAGTCTGACTGTATGTAGAAGTAAGAGTACTATTTTATTTTAAGAAGATTTTTAAGACTTGATGATCAGTGTCAAAAAGATGGAAAATGATGAATAAGTGAGTGAATAATAATGAATTAAAGATCCAAGCGTGAGTCTGGGGCTCTCGCCTCGTGTCCTTGCTAGTTTTGATGATGATGATGTCATTGTCTTGGGCATGCCTTGGCAGAGAGGGCACACGCTATCTATCTTTTCAGCACTGTGTCTTTCACAGAGAAATCAGGGGAGCTCGGGGGCTTTGACTCAACTCGCATCTCTCCCACGCCCGCCCTTCCCCCTCCCTTCCTCTCTCCTCCTCCTCTGCCTGTCTGTCACACTCTGACTCCAGCGTTTGCTCTGCCTCACCGTGCTCTCCTTTCCCTCTCCCGCTTACCGCCATGTCCTCATCCATCTCCGTTCTCTTGCAATGTCACCCTCTTCTTCCTCTCATTCGCTCCATTTCTCCCTATGTCTCCACCAGTCTTCTCACCGTCTCACTCTCTTTGTGTCCAGATGCGATGTGAGGCCTCGTAGATACCAGAACTGGAAAGAAATGTGCCAGTGTGGGGATCTTTCTCTTTACATATCTCCTGGGTTTGTGCATGTGTGCACAGAGAAAGATCAGAAAGATGAATCGGGGTCAGCCGCAGCCAGCGAGAAATCAATATCCATATGGGCAAGCCGGGACTGAAAAGGCTGTGATTATTAACCAGTCATAAAAACTCCTGTTCAAATATTTAGCAGCATTGGTTTTCCATTTGGGTATTGAGATCACTCTTTTTTCCCCAATATTTTATTTGCACATTTCTTTTAAAAATTAACATGCAAACACACATAAAGTAAACAGTACCATTACACAAAATAACAGCAAAACAGACAAAGGAACAATGTCTGAAGCTTCCAAAAGCCTTTCAAAGGCTGCCAGTTGACAGCAGTGTTGGAAATTGACCCTTTTGTCAATAAAGCCTCATGGGGTGAGAGAAAATATATATTTGTAAATAAAATTAAAAAAACATGTGGTGGAGACTACCAAAATAATGTCAGTATGCAGTATATGGCAGAATTTACACAGATACAGACACAGCACAGTAACAGTATTGACAACACTCTTAGACGTGAATCTGATTTGTCAGGAGGAGTAGGTAGGCTCCATCCTGTGCAACAGATTGCAAGGACTAATTTGAGATCAAAACCAAAGTGAAATGAAAAGATTAAAGCCCAGTGAGCGAACTCTATGCAGAACAGAGAGCCACACATGTCTAAACCTCAGTAAAATGCTTTTTTGTTTGGACCTTTGCTCCTCCTTGTATGTTCTCTGACACAGACGGGAACTGATTTGTCATTGGATCTTGAAGGTTATTGTTTTTCCCTCTGTCCCTCCAGTATGTGTGCTTTTCATTTCCCCCATGAAAATAAAGTTAGGCTCAAGCTGCACCGGGGGGATATATCTATTTTTAACCCCAGTGAAGTCGAGGCATCTTGTGGGAGAAGGAGAGCACAGGGAGAGAGAGGAGGGAAAACACAGGATCCATCTCAGATGGCAAGAGAAGACTTCTGGTAAAGATTTGCTTATTGAAAAGCATCTGCCTAATGTACATCATCGGGAGAGGCGTGTGTGTCTGTGTCGTCTGTTACTGCTCTGAAAACATTCAGACATGATATAATTTCTCATCATTCACTACAATGTTCATTACTGTCTACGGCCATTTCAGTTGGTAGCAGCTGGCTTTTATACGTAGAGACACAATATGGTAACCATGGTTACTTATGTGGAAGAACAGACTTGGAATGGATGGAAATGGAAGAGATGACATTATCAGAAATAGATGTTTATCTTCCAGGTAGCAAGAGATACAGTATGTTGAAATTTGCTTTCAATTGCTTAATTAAAGTCTCACATGTAAATAATCTTTGTGCGTGCCACCCATGAACTGCTGTAGTATATATTCAATACACTTAAGGAAGAGGAAGCTGCACATAAAAACTGCTTCTCCCCCATCACAGAATAATGAAATAAAGGCAAAAAGCTGATCGCAAATTTCCTCTCATGTCTTCGCATCTAAATTAGGGGACTAGCCGCCCTCTCACTGCTGTATCCCAGAGTAGAGAGACTGACAAGGCTACTTAGAAGATGAATGATCCTCTGGTGCAGGAGAAAAACCATTAAGGACTCTGAATGAAGGATAAACGATAAAGCGAGGCGGTGTTGAGAAAACTCTCGGCTTTCATTACCAAGTGACCCGCTTTGCATTTTCTCCTCGTCTCCATCGTCAGTCATTTTCTGACAGCAGGGTCTTCACTTCCACACACGAGATGAGAAACAGAAACCTGAACCGTGTTCCACATTATACTTCAAGGTCACTCGTGAAAATAAGTCTGCCAATATTTGTATGAGGCATCGCTTCTGTTAAGTATGTCAGCCGAAGTTGCAGATGCTCAAAGACATCGTCCTCACACAGAAAACGGTTAAGCAACTCACTGTTCCCTTTTTTTGGTAAACATTGTTTGTGCTTCCTGGAACACCTTCACAGAGAAGAGATACAAGTCCTACCCTCGTCTGTTATCTGGGCTTGGAGCCAGCAGGGCTTTCCTTGCAGAGGAGTACGAGATGGGCAGTACTTTGTCTGGCCTGGAACCTCCCTTTCTTTCAGCCACAGGGGACCTCACTGGGAGTACTACTAAATTAGGCTACGTCTGACTGTAAGGCACACAAACTCGTCCACACAGAGAGGTGGCAATGCTGAGAGGACATGGGAAAAGTAGATTAGAGCACAGACATTCAAAACAGTGTTAACTATTAAAGAGCTGCTGTGTCTGTGCTTGTGTTTGTATGGTGTGTGTGTGTGTGTGTGTGTGTGTGTGTGTGTGTGTGTGTGTGTGGATGTGGTGTGTGATTGTAGAGCTGACGGTAAGAGTGGGGGCAGCCCGGTGCCAGCGGAGCCAGTGGGCGGGAATGCCTTCTGTTGCTTTTTACTTCCAGGTCACCTAGCATCACACAGGAGAGGCTAGAGATGGACAGTCTGATTCTTTTAACAAAACTCTCCTGCCATGTTCAGTTCTAATGATGGACTTATTTAAGTCTAAAGTACAAAACAAAGCACCCCGTAACAGGCTACAACTACTGCCCGTCTTTATCTATACACCATCACATCCAAGAAAGGATATCTGCTCATTTTTGTTACACAAGCTTGGTTTAAAATTATTTAAACTATCACCAGAAATATGTTTGATTTGTTTTCTGCAGGCCATTCGTTAAGTGTAGGAGACCAGAATTATTTGATGCCCATTGTAATTCTGTAAATGGATTGCTAATTCATGCACCCTCTGACCGATTTAGTCCTGACTCACTTTAGCCTGACGACTTAATAATGAACATCTGAAAGAGTCTCTGAGATAAAGGTAGATTAGTGCCGGCTCCTGCAGAGTCATACGCATTCAAATGTAACACTGCTGTTCACTGAAATGAGGGTTTTGGACAGGTCTGTGAATCAAATTGTGTCATTTGCTTTAAAGTTGCTAAAAAAATATGAATCTGCCCATTGTGAGAGGAAACTTTGTACTAATTTGCCTTCAAAACCTCTCCATCTTTTGTTCTCTTTCCCTTGCACACTCAGTCCTTTAATCTTTTCATCCTCTCAAGTTGTGTTGCATCAAAAGGATCTTTTCCTCAGCTTTGAATTTTTAAGAAACCCTAACAAAAATAAGGGTAACTGTGTAACTTGTATCTGTGTAATCAAACTGGGTCCTTATGAAATAAAACATGAAGACCATATGTTGTGTCAGTTGAAAATTGAACGGGAGGAAAACTTTTTATAACCTGCGTCATGTTTAAATGGCCACCATTTTCAGTTTCATTGCTGAGATCAGGGCACACAGAGACATCATTAGACACAGCTCTACAATGAAGTCAAATTAGGCAAGCATCATTGAGTGTAAAGGCAGGAGGTCAAAGTTAAATCAGGATGTTTTATAGAAGATATACAAGCATTTGGCAGCACAGGCAACTTTAATGTTCTGCTTGAAGGTGAGGCAGCGAAATCAGTTCTGGCTTTCTGTCCACAGTAACGGGCATTTGTCTAACAAATATGGAAAATACGGTTTAGAAAACGGGATTAAACTATTGACTTTTTAAAACCTGCAAAAGTTTGTGTGGCTGTTAATCTCACCAGTGAAGTTAACTGAATCTAACAATGGAAAAAGACCCATGTTGGTAAAAATGATGGCATTTATAGCTTTAAAGTCCCTAACTGGTAGCAGATACTGTACTTCTTATAATTCTTGACAGGCTGAAGAATTTCATTTTACATTCTAGTAACATATGAAACAAGCTCCTTGTCCTCTGGTGTTCATGTTTTGCTCTGAGGAGACAAGGATCTTTAAACAAGTTCTCCGCAGTGCAACTCTGACTGTGGTTTTGTACCAACTTTAAAAAACAAATCTGGCCCTTGAATATATGCAATTAATGTGGGCTAACAGGACAAACCAGCATCTTTTTTAGACAGACTGTGTTGTTCCTGTTGCAGTCCCATTGCGTGCTTTGAATAATAAGAATGTAAACCTTGAGGCTGCAGTGTGGCTTTAGGTAAGTATTGACTGGATCAGCTGTGAAGCTCAGGGGACATTTCCTACCTCGCCTCCGCATCTGGAGGAGCTTTTCTTTTTAAGGAACTTCAGTCCTGAACAGCCTGACTGTGTACTGCATGGGCAGCTCAGGTGCAGTGTGCGTGTAACTATTTTAATGAATGGGAAGCAGATCATCACACCGTCCAACAAATAAATGAAAATAATCCTCATAATGGTGGCAAAAAAAAAAAAAAAAAAAAGGCACCAGGGACGTCTCTGTGTTTCTCCTCTCACGTATAGGGCCTATTAGTTTTCTCACTGGGTACAATCTAAGCCCCGAGGGAGGAAAGCCGCTCTTACAGAATCATCCAGGGAAGGAGTCTTACATAACAAGTCGTATAATGTCAATGAAAAAGGCCCCATTTAAAGGAGCATGAATAACATGAGAAAATAACATGCATTAATGTGATTGATACAAAGGGGAGGTTCAATGCCAGCAGTGCTTTAAAAATGTTTGGATAATGAAACCCGAACGCTATGGCGAATTAGATTCAGTCCAATGTAGAGACTTATAGCTAGCTGCAATAGGCTGTTAAAGCCATCTCTTATTCTCCTAATGAAGTCAGCTTAAAACCAACTCATTCAAATTAGACCTTTAATGAAAAGTAGGCGATGCCTGAATGTTCATTCAGAGGCTGCGGGAATGCTTATATATGTATATATTCAAAGCAAATGTGCAACATGCAAGAGCGGTTCTCGCTCCGTCAGAAATGCCGACCTCTTTTCCATGAATTATTTCTTATTGCGGTTCACTCCCACGGCCACGGAGCGTCTGACCCGCGAACGAGCCTGTGCTGTCGGGAGCGCGCAGCAGTCATGCCTCATCCTGTCGCTCGCCTCGCCAGCGTCGGAGCACGAGAACAAGAAGAAATTGGTCTTTTGCCTAAAATTTACCCGCTCTTTTAGCGCCCGTGCTGTCGCGCGACCGCCCGCTCCTCGGTGACGACGCTGACATTTTTCTTTTTTGAATCCAAACTCGTCGATATTTGTCTTTTTTTTTCTTTTCTCCCCCCTCCTCCTCCTCCTCTCCTCTCCTCCTCCTCCTCCTCCCAGTCCATGAGTCAAAGAGGGCAACAAGATACAAGAGGAGTACAGCTGTGGTGATGTGGTGTTTCAGGGCTCATCCTTCATTTCGCAGGTCACTCCTTTAACTTGACGCCGTCGAGCCTCCTGACGCTGTTCAGTTTGGGGATGTAAACGCTGCCGGGGAGACACTTTAACAGAGCCGAACTGATGTGACTCAACCAGAGGAGTGTTTTCATTCAGTGCCCCGGAACAATGAGCCGCTAGGAGCCCAAACGTGCCGCGAAAGGTAAGATAAAGACTCCCAGCTGACTGTCATTCAGTGTCGGACTCACCTGTGACAAGGAAACAACAACAAAAGGCTTCGTCCAAACAGGTGGTGTCCTGCCGCACGAGCAGCTGATGAGAGGGAAAAGTACATGTCTGAATTACAATGTCACATTCCTGTTGAGGATCATTAATATCAAAATACACGCGAGACAAATGCGAGTGAGGAAGTGTGCTGATTAAAAAGATTGAATTACAAACATTACACACTGTTTGCTATACAGTAATTTATCTGAGTGAGGATCGTCTTTTACATTACATCATGTGTTGCAGGATTAAGAATGGTAATTACACAGAGCTGAAAATGACCAAGATTAGACACTGAGTTAGCACTCTGTTGGTGATCGGAAGAAAAACACACCAGTGACAAAACAACCAGTAACAAATAACCCAGATAGTGTACTTGTATTGATTACAGGCAGTTTGTGACATAAGAATATTGAGTGTCCTGCAGTCCCAAAGCTTGACACACATACAGTACAAGAGGGACATGCAAACTTATGCAGCCAAATTTCTGCAACGTGTTCAGCATAATTTTAGCAAATCTTCACACCTCCACTTTTGTTTTATCAGTGCAACTTTATGTCTTCCTTTTCGTTTCTTTATAGCTGCTGCAGATAATCAGATCATTTAATAGGGAATGTTAAAATGTGCATGTGATTGGCTGATATTCAACTTTAAAATGAGGCTGAGTATAAGCCAGATGTTGACACCTGCCATTACAGTAATGGTCACAGTAATGGTGGACATATCCAACCATAACTGACAAAGATTAGGACATTTACAACTCCCAGCCTATAGGCCAAATGCTTTACCCGTTCAGTTCCAACCAATAAAGTGATTGGTTCAGAGAAAGTGCTTTAAATATGGGAGTTTATTCATATATTATGGGTGTTATACGCGCGCTCGTCAACAGCATTCTTGTTTTTTCATGTAGCCCATGTTAAAGGTCCAATGTGTAGCATTTGGGAGGATCTATCGGCAGAAATGGAATATAATATTCATAGGTATGTTTTCATTAGTGTATAATCACCTGAAAATAAGAAATGTTACCTTTAGAATGAGCTGTTTTTATCTACAGATGCCATAGGTCATTTTACTTGTAGGCCGCCATGTTGAACTGCCATGTTTGTTTAGTAGGCCAGAACGGACACACCAAACACTGGATCTAGATACTCTAGATAGGGATGTTCACGTTTTTCTCGCGTTTTGCTAATGTCTTGCTCCCACTGTAGTTTCTCCCTTTTGCTTAGAAAGGCAGGGTGAAGCGAAAGAGTTGCAAACTGCAACTACACAGCTAGATGCCACTAAATCCTCAACAGTGGTCCTCTAATAACAAAGCACAGAAAGTGAGCCGTCAGTCGATCTTCGCATTCTTTCATATATATTTAAATGTTTCCCACTAGAGAAGTCACAGTAGAAATAAACGAGAGAGTGGATTACATGCAGTCACAGGTCAGGAAGTGGCTGTGCAAGCCAATAACCACATTCACTGCTCAGAGAAAGTGCTGTAGCCTACATGTGACAGTTGCTGCTACACCATGAAGCCTCACAACAGATCTCAGTGTTTCACTGGGCATATGTGACATTTTGTTTGTCACACGTTTGGCTCTGTCATTTTGTGACCGTGTTAGCCCGTCTTCACACTATTCTATTTTTCGCTCACACACAACACATTGACCAGAGTCCGTCTTCCCTTAGACAACATTGTATTATTGACAATGACATATTTGAGTATTTTAAAATTATAATCACCTCTAGAACGTTTAAGTCCTTTGCACAGGTTTTAATTTAATTATCAATTTTAATGCTCTTATTCGACCACCTTCATTCACTTAAACTGCATGCCTTTTTTCCAAAACAAACTCTAAACCCTGTGCCATATGGTGCCCAGTGATCCAGCTACAGTCATAGCTGGAGGTAGCTTAACATAAACAGGAAGCGAGCCTCTAGGGTTACATTTGTGATGGAAAATTCAAATACTTAGTCATTTGACAAGCTGGTCGCTCAGCTAAGAAAAGTGCTCACAGTTTGCCTCAGGAACATCAAACAGCATGTTGGATTCTGATTTGTGAACTTTTAATACCTTGCACCTTATTAGTAAATGTGTGGCATCCTATTGGCACTGATTGCGCTGATATGGCTAGTTATCTTAGGTATTTACTGCAGCTTTGTGTTACTGGAAAATCGAGTGCAGAGAGGCAATCATGGAAATCACAGTAGTATGACAGACAGTATGACATCAGTGCTGGAAGCTTGCTGTTTTCTAATGACTGCATACACTATTTAAGAAAATATGCCAGCTTGACTGCCATAGTAGTTTGTTAATGCATCCTCACAGGGCCAACAAAATAATACACGCTTTCTACGGCTAAAGCAAGTGAGTCTAAACTTGCTCAGCTTTTCAATAGACCAGAAAATTACAACTGATTTGTAAGTTGCTTTAATCAGCTGCAGTATAGGTTTTAGATGTTTTACCTCTGGAAGCAAATACCCATTGAGAAACACAACAGACTCCATTTTACTGCACTGTGAAAGCCAATTAGTGCTGGAGTTTTTGATTTCCTATTTATTGTTATGACTCCTGCCATGGATAAAGTGCCTCAGAGCATAATACTATTGATTTTATTTGATGGGTATTTAATTAGTGATGCTTATTATAATGCTGTTTGATATATTAAAAGTCATGCTTCACCAGTGTTTGTAGCCTTATACCAATTCTGCTCAGAAGAGGCTCTGACATAATATCCTAATCACACCTGATTCATTATTGACTAAGTGATGCTCACTTTCCCATTGTAAAATAATGGGCTAATGTTTTAAAATGTCTTTAAACTGCTGCCAGAAAATAAATTTGATAAAAGAAATTTATAGTAAAACAATACTTCTCTTGATACCTTACTTTACAGGATATAAACACGTCGGATTCAAGAATGAGTAAAATAAAGACTGACTTAACATTTGTTGCTTTCTGTACTTGAGTTTTTCATACTTGGTGCCACTTGGTGAAAAGTAACTAAGTACATTCACTCATGTAATGTACTTAAGTCTAAATTTGAGGTACTTCCATTTAACTTCTACTCCATTACATTTATTTGTTGTCTATAGTTTCTAGTTACTTTACAAAGATTTTACATACAAAAATATGAAGAACATGCTTTGTAAAAAATGTAGCTACCAAAAATATATCAATTATCAAAAACATAATCAGCAACTGTTTAGATAACCGTTGATTAAACAAGCCAAACTTTTCATGGTTTCATCGGTTTAACTGTGACTATAATATAGAATCGATTAATTGATCAAGAAAATAACCAGCAGATTGATCCAACATGAAAATAGTTACCCCGTATAAAAAAGCTAAAAATGACCTCCACCTCAACCAGCTCCAAGAGAAAAATGCTGCTTTAACATTAATCCTTGAGTGATAATCTAACATAATAGTAAATGTATAGTATATCATTAGGTATGCTATATGTACACTCACACATTTGTGATTTTGATTCAGTTCTTTTACTTAAATTTACATTTTCAATGCAGGACTTTTAGTTGTAACAGAGTATTTTTTACGATTAGTACTGTAGTAGTAGAAGTAGTAGTATTATTATTCTGAATACTTCCTCTACTACTGCTGGGTGCCAGGGAGCCTATTCCATATTGAGTTTCAATAGTGTTCACCCTTCTAGGACATTGATTGGGGGGACATTCAATCGTTTGCTGGTTTGATGTACAACCTCCAGCAGGAAGATACTGATTCAGTAGAGAAATTGTCTTAGCTTACCTCTTTCGACACAAATGTCAGAGGTCAAGGTCATAACCTGATTATTATCTGATGACTGGAGCTGATAGTGTTTCACTGGCTCGATTTTCAGACTTCAGTGGAGCAGATCTGACACTAGGGGCTTGAATGTAGGTCCTCTGGTTGGAGAGCAGGCTGCCAGCTTACTCTACCTCCCTGCTGTGCATTAGTGAAATGCTGGGATTAAACGGAAGGGGCATTCGCTCACAACATGTTGTTGTTGTTTCAGTTCTTGAGTATGTGTGCTAGTGCATATTTGCTGTCTGGGATCATATTCTGTAAGTGGATACTTTACAATGACAGCAACTAAAGAGAGTTACTCACTGCAGGAAGATCATTATACAGAATATGAAATGTAAGTTGTCGTCTCTCATAGAGATTGTGTCATCCTACTCAAATAAACTGTGCTTCCAAGACAATGTTCATTCATTCGTGCTTGAAAATATACCAGCTGCAAACTGAACTTTGGCCTTGTGTTACTCCAAATAGGTTTGAGCAAAATGGTGATGCAGACTGTGCTACAGCTCTGGGAAAATGGATTTGAGCAGCTTTTATTTTCCATCATGCAACAGATGAATGTTTGGAAGAGCAGACAGGCCATTAATAGTCTGACTGTTGTTAAAGATAAAGCTGAAGTATTCTTTCAATGAGGGTTGTTTGGCCTGTATTAAATGAACCACCTACACTGCAGTTCAACATCCCAAATTGGAAAAAAACTATTAGGATGTATTAGTAATTTCATTTGATTCAATTTGATCTCAACTGTAGAGAAACGAGGCAAATGATGTTGTTAATTAAAGGTCCAATGTGTGGGATTGAATGGCATCTAGCAGTGAAATTGTAGATTGCAACTAACTGAAACCCTGTGATTCAACCAAGCGTCTGGGTGAAACTACGGAGATTGTAGTGCGAAAAAAAAGTGAAAGGCCCTGTCTAGAGCCAGTGTGTGGTTTGTCCGTTCTGGGCTACTGTAATGGCGGAAGAGGTCCCCTCTGTAGGTAAAAACAGTTTATTTTAAGGTAACAAACTTTATATCAGCAGATGAGAAATTTGTCAAAATCACGGCAGTTAATGATGAGATGATGTCATTACTGTAAAGCTGCTGCTGAGGATCTTGGGAAATAGGGGAATTTAATGTTCCATTATCCTATTATTACCACACT